CTACCCGACCCTCGTTTGGTCCCCCACTCCCTGTCCTGATACTAGAAATAAGCCTCCCACTCCGGATACCCCTCGGTCAAACCCCGGGACCAAATGCTTTAGATGTTAGGGGTACGGGCATATCGCCTCTCAGTGCTCTAATCCCTACAAAGTCACGATTATTAAAGAGATAACTGAAGCGGAATTCAAGCCCGAAGTCGATCAGGTTCACCAAGTGGACAACAATAGTGAATTCTTTGAGGAGGATGACGTCACTGCTGTCATCCATAACATTCAGAAAGTGGACACTTCTCCCACCTACGTGGTACATTCAGAAAGTAGACTCTGTTCAATTCAGGTTGGACCCGACCTCGGCCCATTATCCCTTTTGACACCCCTGTTTTTCCTTTGATACTCCAAGCATATCTTTTGCAACATTCTTAATATCAATATATACTTTATTTCCACATAGCATTAGCTTCCTTATGCACAAATAAAATCTTGATCTAGTATCTTACTCTAAAATCATATGTATTAATATTCTTTAAATACCCAATCTAATCCTAAAATATTGTTTTGCTTTATTTTTTATTTTCTTTCATTTCTTCTTAAAGTCCAAAACTAATAATCAATGTTGGGTACATAAACTTTCACTTGGAATAACTTTACAATCTTTGCAATATAAACGATCTATTTTTTTATAAGAAAATAATCAATCTAATTTTACTATATCCATTCTTATAAGCAATGAAATGTTCTTCTCTTTTCTTAAATAAGATATTAACAATTACAAATTTATAAGCTAAAGAAAATCTAATATGATCTTACCACCTTCATTAGTCGTTCCTAACTCATAGCCATTATGAATGCTTTTAAAATCATTTTCCTCTCTACCAATATGTCCATTTGAATCTCTTCTTATAAATCTTTTTCTTCAAGAGGCATCTTTTGTATTAATTTTAATGTCATTCCAAAATTTTAATTTGAACCTATATCCAAACTTACTTAAGGAGCATAAGCACTTATATTCTTTAAACTCCTATCTATAATCACACTTATACCATTTCTAAAACGACTTTACCATAATACTATAGTTTAAATCCTAAACTATCAATCTCTTTAGCATTCTCTCCAATATTTTTAGTTTCTTGAATGCATAGAATATTTATTTTCCTATGAATCATAATATGTATTAATTTTTATATTCTTAAATATTGCAGTGATAATAAATTATTTCATTTGTTCACCCATAATGCTTGCATTCTACTCCCACCAACAAGATTTTTTTAACTATTAGGAAGTCATTTTAGCATGAAATAACTAGTAACAATTTTTTACAGCTATTTTCAAACCCCAAACCGAGTATCTATATTGAATTTAAATATTATTGCTTCATTATTCTTCTAGGTTTCCATAATTTTGAATTATAGTTTACCATGCAGCATGAATCAAGTGCCTAGTGTAGCACATATAAGAAATTATAAAGTCATCCAGATATTTGATGTGCATTGTTGATGCGAGCAAAAAATCCCTGGGGAGAGGGCGCCCCCTAGAAATTCTTGATCACCTAAAAAATAACAAAAGAGAGAGACTTAGGAACTAAGTAATAAGAAGAACAAACTCTTACATTTCATATAAAAAGACACTTACAAATTTTTGACTCAATCGACTCAAGCAAGACACCTTACAACTCTTACAAACGACACAAACACAAATTAAAACCTAAACCTGCTTTCCAAGAGACGAATGATACAATGGAGTGGATACTTGCGGAAAGACGAAAGATATTAGAAGCCGAGAAGAAGGGTGGAAAGAACTCGCAAGTCTCCCCGAGAGATAGGAGAAGAAGAAGAAGAAGCTCTCAAGCTCTTCCAAAAAAATCCGCAGATTTCTTTTCAAAAATTTTTTCTTAACATTACTTTAAAACATTCCAAAACATCTCATATTTATAGACATGAGAGGGGAATACAAACAGCCACTTCAATGATTTCCCACAGGAACCCAAGCATCACAAACCACGGAAAAGCCCCCCTAACCTCACGGGAAATAGCCCAGCCAGGGACCCAAAGAGGTAGCCGCGGAAACCCAAGAGGCCCGCAAGGAACCGAGGCACAAAAGCATGGGAAAGGCCACCCAGCAAGAAAACCATCAGCCAACCGTGGAAACCAAGGAGCCAAGGCACGGAAACAGCCAACTGTGGAATCCAAGGAGCCAAGGCATGAAAAACAACAAGCACAGGGAATCCAAAAGCCATTTTGGAAACCCAAGGGACAAATTAAGAATTTTAATAAACAAAACTATAAATAAAGAACTACATAAATAAGAAATAAATGAACTAAAATCTAGCTAATAATGAGCTAACATTTAGTTCAATAAATGAACTAAAAATCGGCTCATAATGAGCTAAATTTCAGCTCAAAATTTATTGAGCTAGCAAGCTCAAGGGAAGTCAAAACCAAATTTTTTTTGGGTTTGATTTGACCCCCCCTTTGCCTACATCAGACTCCCCTTCTTGAGAACTCATCTCCCGATAAGTTAGCTTTTATTTTCTTCTGAGGAGGTGAAGACGGAGCATCCAATTCTTTAATCTTTTCTCCAAACTTCTTCAAAATTTCTTCTTGCTCTTTCTCGAACTGTGTTCGTAGATACGTCTTCCATTTCTCGAATTTCTGATCACATAAGAACATGTGATATTGAAGTTTGTATAATCGGTCTTGAAGCGGATCTGTTGAATCACCTTCAGTTGGAATCCATCTGTCCATCGGAAGAGGGACATCAGGATTATCTGGCTTGTTTTATCTTTGAATGAATCTATCTTTTTGTCTTTTTTCCATTTTTAAAAGAAAGACTCAACAATAAACTTGACTCAAATAAAGACTCAAGCTAAACTTAGACTCACAAGACTCACATAACAAATCTTTGACCTACTTAAAAGCTAGGAGCAGAAAACAAAAGAGAGAGACTTAGGAATTAAGTAATAAGAAGAACAAACTCTTACATTTCATATAAAAAGACACTTACAAACTTTTGACTCAATCGATTCAAGCAAGACACCTTACAACCTTTACAAACGACACAAACACAAATTAAAACCTAAACCTGCTTTCCAAGAGACGAAGGATGCAATGGAGTGGATACTTGAGGAGAGACGAAAGAGATTAGAAGCTGAGAAGAATGGTGGAAAGAACTCGCAAGTCTCCCCGAGAGATAGAAGAAGAAGAAGCTCTCAAGCTCTTTCAAGAAAATCCGCAGATTTCATTTCAAAAATTCTTTCTTAACATTACTACAAAACATTCCAAAACATCTCATATTTATTGACATGAGAGGGGAATACAAACAGTCACTTCAATGATTTCCCACAGGAACCCAAGCATCACAAACCACGGAAAAGCCCCCCTAACCTCACAGGAAACAGCCTAGCCAGGGACCCGAAGAGGCAGCCGCGGAAACCCAAGAGGCCCGCATGGAACCGAGGCACCAAAGCACGGGAAAGGCCACCCAGCAGGAAAACCATCAGCCAATCGTGGAAACCAAGGAGCCAAGGCACGGAAACAGCCAACCGTGGAATCCAAGGAGCCAAGGCACGAAAAACAACAAGCACAGGGAATCCAAAAGCCATTTTGGAACCCCAACGGACAAACTAAGAATTTTAAGAGACAAAACTATAAATAAAGAAGTACATAAATAAGAAAATAAATGAACTAAAAATCGGCTCATAATGAGCTAAATTTCAGCTCCAAATTTATTGAGCTAGCTAGCTCAAGGGAAGTCAAAACCAATTTTTTTTTGGGTTTAATTTTACAACCCCCCCCCCCCCCCCCCCCCCCCCCCCCCCCCGTGCCCCCCCCCCCCCCCCTTTGCCTACATCAATTGTTTAGGTTGTACATGGACATAATTTGAGGCTTGATGTTCAATATTGAGATTAAATGCTGATACACAACGAATTGTATCGATATCTTAAATTTTCAATTGATTGACATTAATTTGCAATTCTATAATTTTGATTATTGAATATTTACTAAATACTCAATAACTTCTGATATAGCATTGTAGGTGTGATGACCATTATTTTAAAACCGCATTATTTGGGGCATGCCTATAGGTGGTTGGCCAAACTTTCCCCAGGATAGTCAAAAGAAACATTGGTGTTGCCCTTGACACCATTTGCATCCTCTTTGTAGGATGATAGCCTCGTCATATAAATTAGATTATAAAATTAGAAAATTTAAGCCTTTTATGAATAACTTTCCTACATATTTAATTGTAAACATAAAAGAAAAAAAACATCTGCTTTTTAATTTCTAAGCCCTCTCAAACCATTCATCTCTTGCAAATCCACAAGAAACATCAAAGTTCTATGCTTGAGTCTTGACTCACGTATCATTTTCCCTCGCATGTCATGTTATTCTCCCTCGCTTACCAATGACTCCCACCACTTTTGATCTTTGTTTGGCGTTATATTTTTTGTCAATTACATTGGAGTTGGAATATTAATCATTCAGTTATGGAGTTTAGATTTTGGAATGTATTTAAATTTTTTATTATGTTAATTTTTAAATTTTTTATTTTTTATTTTTAAAATTTTTAAAAATATTAAATTCATGAGATTTACATCCTGTTTTTGTGATATAAAACTCCTGACCTTATGCTTGAATTTTGGTGACAACCAAGATATTTAAATCATTTTAAACGTTATCTCTAAATTTTGTTAACAGTAATGTTAATTTGACCTGACTAATTTAAATACTGTAAAATAAACTTCACATGTTATCCCGTAGTTTTATTGTGCTATCAAGAACAGCTTCCTTACTACATAGACTAATATTTGTGCAAAAGCTATATTCTTGGATCATTTTCAAATCTCTAATACCTTAAATTCTGTTGCTCTGACTTGTATGCATAAACTTCGTACTGGAGCCAACTACAAGAATGTTTATTATTTAAATTTCTAATGTTAGACTATTATTTGAACTCCCACTCTTGGTCATGAACAGTATGCAATTCATTTTTTGTTTTGACAGCTATGGATAGCTTTATGTATTGCTACCAATAGTAGTGCATGGTTAGGTACTGGTGTCCTTGTAACAAACATGAGAAACTTCCCTTACAGTAGAGGTACAGTTGCTGGCATTCTGAAGGGTTACATTGGCCTTAGTGCTGCTGTATATACTCTAATTTACACAGGGGTGCTTGATCACTCTCCCTCCAAGTTGTTGCTGCTCCTTGCTCTTGGTCTGCCGGCGGTTTGCCTCGCAATGATGTATTTTGTGCGTCCCTGCTCTCCAGCTTCAGAAGATGACTCATCCGAGCATGGTCATTTCTTGTTCACCCAGATTGTTAGTGTTTTTCTTGGCCTCTACTTGTTAACTGCAACGTTACTTGACAATGTCCTCTCGCCAGGTGGTTTAGTTACCTATATATTTTTTGGTATAATGGTATTGTTACTCCTTTCTCCCCTTGCAATCCCATTGAAGATGACTTTGTACCCAAATAAGAAAAAGAAATCTGGCATTAACACTCCATCCAGTTCTTCTGATCAACTATCTCAGCTGGACCAAGATGCAACGGAACCATTGCTTGCTCTGTCTTCATCTGCTACAAATCTTAGCAGCTTTCAAGAGTCAGATGATTCTTCTGATGTGGATATACTTTTGGCTGAAGGAGAAGGTGCAATATATATGAAGAAGAAGAGAAAACCTAAGAGGGGGGAAGATTTTAGATTTCGTGAAGCCTTGATCAAGGCTGATTTCTGGCTTTTATTTCTGGGTTATTTCCTAGGAGTTGGTTCAGGTGTTACAGTGCTAAATAACCTGGCACAAATAGGAATCGCAGCAGGTGTTAATGATACAACCATTTTATTGTGCCTATTCAGCTTTTGCAATTTTGTTGGCCGTCTTGGAGGTGGTTCTGTCTCTGAGTACTATGTAAGGTAACAAAATTTTGTTTTATCTTAGGCTTCATTTGGGACGAATTTTTTTGTTGATTTTTAAAGCAGCTTAAATCTACTTTAAGAAGTAGCAAGAAATCTGTCCCAAACAAAGCTTTAAAGTTCTCTTGCAACTATTAGACAATAAGATTGTGTTGCTATTTCTTGTGCAGATCAAAAATGCTTCCACGGTCCATATGGATGGCCTTCACTCAAATGATCATGGTCCTTACTTACCTCCTCTTTGCATTGGGCCTTAACGGTACTCTGTATTTTTCAACTGCTCTACTTGGTATCTGCTATGGCGTTCAATTCTCTGTGATGGTACCAACCGCATCTGAACTATTTGGTTTAAAGCACTTTGGAATCATTTACAATTTCATGCTGTTGGGAAATCCTCTTGGGGCGTTCTTGCTCTCAGCTATACTTGCAGGGTATGTCTATGATAATGAAGCAGAGAAGCAGGGTGGAACTACCTGCCTTGGACCTAGTTGTTTTGGGCTAACTTTCTTTGTTCTAGCTGGAGTTTGTGCATTGGGATCTGTGTTGAGTGTCATCTTGACCGTTAGAATAAGGCCCGTATATCAGATGCTTTATTCAAGTGGCTCATTTCGCCTTCCTTCAACTTCACAACATTAGAAACTTCCTTTAGCTTTTATTTGCATATCTTCATTTTGGTTATGGTTAAACTTTTGTTGTAACTATTTTCTTGCGAACTTATTCCATAAGAAATATCATATACGAAACTTTATGCAACTGATAATTCTGTAGTACATTTTACATGACAAGATTGATATCTTTGTCATGGGGTGCTTGCTCTGCAGAATTTTATGGTCTTGCTTTGGTTCTACCATTTCTCTGATTTCTTGTGGCTTTTGGAAGACAGTTTAAGCTTTGAACTAAGACTTTTTATTTGATAGTTGAAGTTCTCAACCAACATATAAAGATGAGTTGCATTACATAAATTTTTTTTCTATGATTTTACAAATGCAAGCCATTTCAGCTGAGAATATATGGAATCAAGAGTAACACTATGGCCTTGTTTTGGATGACTTTCTTATTGCTTCTTAAAGCAGCTTTCTAGTACAAAAAAAAACTATTTCTTTTTGTACTATAAAACTATTTTAAGAAGCAGTAAAAAAAGCCGTCCCAAACGAAAGTGGTCATTGGAAACTTTATTATTTTATTTGAAATAAAATATATTTGATATATATATATATATTTAATATTTTTAAAAATATAGGATATTTTTATTTTTTTTTAAATATTGAATAAGTTAATTTATATGATGTTGACAATAGTAACTAGCACTTGGAGGCACAATTCTTGGTAAGGGAGTTTTAGAAGGGAGTGGTTGTTTGTGGGTAACTGCAATTCGAGATGGTTTAAAAAAAAACACTCAAATAGTTCTAATTTAACTAATTTGTTTTTAAAAGTAAAGTATAAAAGATTAACAATTATTATAAATTTAAAAAAAAATAATGTCAAACACCTAAAAAAACAAAGACAAGAGAGAGATTTACAGTGTTCTTCCTTGCAACCCTAATTCATTGTCACACATATATAAGAAATGCATAGCAATATCTCACAATGGCTTGATGAAGTACCAGTAAATGCATATGAAGGCAGTCTTCCCTATGACAAAAAAACACGCACTCCAAAATTTAGTGGTTGCCAGAAGTCTTGGTCTATCAGTCTGGAATATATAGCTTTACCAATTGCCATTCCCTCCTAAAGCTCCATCCCATCACAAATGCTCATAAAATTCCTGCAATAACTCGGACCAAATCTTCTAGCTTATGTTCTTACACGCACAGTTTCAGCATAAGCGAATCTACAAAGAGATGAGAGCTTCAAACGCTTATGTTGGCTTCAAATCCTGGAACATGGAGTCCCATCTGACTTCTGCATAGGCTCTACCGACCTTGTTGCTACAATCCTGAGCTTCCTGGTTGCCATTGGTGATCATTAGCCTCCCTTGCTTTTCTTCCAGTTCCTTCCTGTCACTCGTCATTCTGCTCGCCCTCCACTGCCTTGCTGCCTTCGGAACAGCCACAATTGCAGAGCTGCTACTGTTACTCAGCCTCCAAACATAGTTCGACACACGCTTGCTGAGCTTCTTCACTGCAGAAATGACCCCCTTCCTCTCTTTCCTTGCCAGCTTGAGAATCTCTAACCTGTGCTTGCCTATCGATATGCCCATGCTTAGGAGGAACTCATGATCCAAGTGCTTGATGTCGTCCTCCTCGAGCTCGTTATCAGACAAAAGAAGGCCATATTCATGGACTAGTGATGGCTGAAGGCTGGATTTGGAGAGCCAGGCAGACCAATCCATTGGTGAAGAGGAAGAATTCTGCAGCAGATTATTCAAGGTTCAAGTAGAGGGCTTGAGATGATAGTGGGCCTTCCATGATAATGATGTCTTTGTCTATATGCAATGGTGTAGCTTGAAGACATGGGCATGGGAATCTCTTCATGTGGATGCTATGTTTGCAATGAATGTTGTAACTGAAAGCAGCAGTGAAACTGTAAAACTTTCTGTTTGATGAAACTTATTTAAGGGAAAGTTGGCTTTTCCTCAGCCCCTTCTAACCATTAACATACATCAGTGTATTAATGAGATGCATTATTGTGATGGTACATTTGGACCGTCTCTGATTGTGACAGAGCTTTGAAGTCTCGACTTCCCAATCAAGAAACCTAGGCTCTTTTAGTTTTTTAAGTGTGTTGAGCGAATTTAATCATAAATATCAGAGTAAAAAGTGCTTGAAATTTTACCACTGCAGTGACAACATGACCTAAAACCATCAAATCATGGAGCCTTACATATTTGCGCCCATTTTTTCATGTTCAGGCTATTTCATTTTCATACATTCAATATCTTCTGAGCAAGTGGATAGTATCATTTTTTAACCGTGCGCCTTTTTTTTTCTTGACATTTAGGTAAATTAAGGCAAACTCACACACATATCGCATACGCAATATTTGAACCAAAGGCCTGTTGGTTAGTAGCCAAAGCACCCAACCAATAGATCAAATTGAGTTGCGTTAATACTGAAATTGAATTTAAAGGATTTAATTCTTTTCTTGGGTTAAACTGTCATAATCTTTATGTTTAGAACAATAATTGATGGTTCCAAATGGAAAGACTAGACTAGTGGAAGGAATTTTTCAAAAAATTAGAAAACTGGATGAGAGAGACTTTACATCTCCATTTCAATGTTAAGGGGACAATGAAAAGGACAAGTGCCAAAGATTATCTGTTTTATATGCAGAAATCATTAATTTTTTAAGTTGCTTCTTGGGCATTGTTTGATGGTGCAAATGTGATAGTAAATGACTCTTGGTTGGTGGAGGTCAACTAATTTAGTTGGCAAAATTTTTTAAAATTGTTGCTTAGGTTTAGGATTATATCATGCAAATCAAATTTGTGCTTAGTTAACAAAAAAAAGGCATATTTTGATATTTTTGTTAAAGACACTATTTGAAACATCCACTAAGCATTTGGTGTACATAGAACAATGTAGCACTAAGTGCCAAATTATATATAATGAGGTATTTAATATATTTTTGTTTGTATATAATATATTTTTCTAATATTTTATAAATAATAATGCATGGCAATACACAATAATACATGGGTCTAATGCATGAAGTATAACATGTGGTTGAATAACATAATAACTTGTCATCTAGGAGTTTGTCTATAGTTAGTTCATTTTATAGGTGTTGTGTGCAAGAAGAAATTTAGATCGATTGAGATCAGAGCTTCGGTCGGGAAGATCGGAGGGAAGCAGCTACGGAAGCTCTGCGACAGGGAAGGAGATCGGGAGTTGGGGGCCGTGTGGGTAGGGATTCGTGGATTTTGCGAATGGGAGAGAGCCGAGCAGCGAGCGAAAGCCTCGTTTGGGGTCGCTAGTTAACAACGAGGATGGGGCAGCGATCGAGAGCCGAATTTCAGCAGGAATCGCGGGAGAAGCAACTGATTCGGCGCTGATGTCTTCGGCAGGATTCGCGGGTTTTGGCAGAGGACTGGATACGAGGGTTGATTTTTTTTTTTCTTTTGGATTTAACATGCAGGGCAACAGTGTTGTGTGCAAGAAGAAATTTAGATGGATTGAGAGAATACAATTTACAATCACCTTAACTTTAGAAATTTGAGTGAAGGTGTTTAATAGAATCCTACCATTCTGAAGTACTTATATTATTGAGATACTCTATCAAGAAATGTTATCAGTATTTGCAGGAGAAAATTTTATATTGCATATTATATTTTATTTTAAAAGTGTGGGGTTTAAAATACTTTGAAGGAAAACTCATGGAAAAATTTTAATGTACACTTATGACCACAGAGAGAACATGCTTTTACAATTTTTTGTAAAGTTAAGTAAAAGAGATATCCAAAGCATGGCATATTATACTTATTAGGTATTATCCAATCCTAGCTAAAATTAAGGTTATATGTATTGTAGGGATACTATTGCAAATCAGGCAAAAACCTACCATAAAGACTTTGGGTTTACTTCCCTCCTGGTTTGGATGCCAATGTACCCGTACTAAAATATTTTCAAATCATGTCATTTAGACAATGTATTATATCCAAGATTGGGTGTGATGTTATTTAGAAAGATTTGGGTTTTATACTTTGGATGAAATCAAAGCAAGCCTTGGACTTTCCCATAAGCAAAGTTTAAAAGAAAGGGATGGGGTTATGATGTCAATGGCATTACCCAAAAAGAAAGACTAGGTTTTATAATGCCATTGGTACTACCCAATGCATATGATGGGCATGAAATGCTTTATATGCAAATTGATGTCTAGATTTAGTACTAAATAAGGCCTACATATAATATGTGTCAACTAGATTTATTGCTAACTAGTAACTCTTCTATCTCCAAAGTATTTCGTTAACTTTCATCACACCCATTTTAAAACAAAAAAGAGGCCAATAGCAATTAATTTATTTAGAAAGGTGTCTTAGAGAGAGGATAATGTAAATTTTATCAATTTTTCTTGGTAGATTTTACCTTTGTAAGAGATTTACTCGTAAAATCTAATCATTAAGTAAAAGTAATTGTAGTTGAATCGCAACTATTGAAAGAAAAAAAAAAATTACAAGCATGTAAGTAAGAAACCGTAAGGAAAAACTTTCACAATGACTCAAATGATCTAATATACTTGGATTTTGTAATTCGCATTAAAAAAATAAAGTCTCTCTCTCTCTCTCTCTCTCTCTCTCTCTCTCTCTCTCTCTCTCTCTCTCTCTCT